CTACTGTCGCTGTGAGAAGGTCCTCCATTGTGCACGTGGCAGGGCTCATGCTACATTGTAGTAAGTGGTTTGTGGTTTGCTCTTCTCTGCACTCGCATGTCGTGGACTCCACTTTGTAGCCCCATTTCTTAAGGTTGGCTCTGCATCTCGTGGTTCCAGAGGGCAGCCTGTTCAGTGCCTTCCAGGTTGTCCAGTCTTCTGTGTGGCCAGGAGGGAGTTTCTCATCTGGTCTCAGCCACTGATTGAGGTGCTGGGTTTTAGCCTGCCACTTTTGGACTCCCACTTGCTGAGGTGCTCCTGTAAGTATCTCTGTAGATTAGTGGTTCTCAACTTGTGGGACACCAGATGTTTTGGCTTTCAGCTCCCAGAAATCCTAACAGCTGGTAAACTGACTGGGATTTCTGGGAGTTGTAAACCCACAAGTTGAGAACCACTGCTGTAGATCTTGGGAAGCTGTTTCTTGATTTAAGGCATGCTGGCTGATATCTGAATAGAGAATGGGCCGAAGATGTCCTTGGTCCTTTGATTGCTACTTCCCAGCAGATGTCAGGTGGTGTGATACAGCTAAACAGTGTAATTTCTCCAGTCATGGGGGGCGTAGACATCCTGTCATAATGCAGCATGTCTCATTAAGAGCCACATCCACTGTTTTAACATGGTGAGATGTTTTCCACACTGGGCATGTGCATTCAGCAGCAGAGTAGCAAAGCACAAGGGCAGATGTCTTCACTGTGTCTGGTTGTGATCCCCAGGTTGCAACATGCAACCAAACTTTCAGATGGTGGTTTTATTTTAATTCTCACCAGAGATCTATAAATAAGGCAGAATAAGACCTTGATTTTCCTTGAGTTTCCAAGATGTTTTGCATTGACCATGCTGTTTCGATGATGGGGCCTGTATTCTAATATTCAGTTGCCTTAAATTGGGTTTGCCTTTTTTGGTGTATCACTGACTCACTCTTCCATTTACATTTATAGTCACTTGATGAAAACATTTCTGTTTCTCATAACTTAACCTAACAAATGAGTTCCCTGTTCCCTTTTACTTCTTTGCTTTTTTATTGTTGGAACTCCTCCCTTAAAAAAACAACTTTGCCATTTTAGCATATCATTTTATTAATTCTTTCAAGCTGTTCTTAGAGGTTTAGAATAAACATTTTGAGCAAAAACACAAAGTTTATTCTATCAATCATTAATTTAAGAGGTCTGTTTTCCTGAGTCACATGTTTTGGCATTGTTTTAACAGAGCTGTGTTCCTTTTTATAGCTGGCTTGTGTTTATTTGCCTGCCCATCCTCTATAACTTCTAATACATTTCTGAGGCATACTGGTAAGATGTTGATGTTGTTCAGAGCACATCAACAGCCCAATTATAGTAGTAGGCAATCCCGACTTCCTTTCTTTGCACATTATGTATACTAAATTATATCTCCAAGCTTCTTGGCAGAGAAGGAACAGTTTCCCTCTTTTTGCCAGCCTTGAAAAAAAGTCCCTTGGCTTGTTTGAGGTGCTGTGAATAAAATATTAATTACTGAAATGTATGAATGAAAGAATTCCTTTGCGGTAGAGATTGTACAGTCTTAGTAATAGGATATGGGTGTGTTCTCAAAGAGTGAAAGGAATTTGGAAAAGAGACAAGGGCATGGAAACTGTCTTTCACTAGCCTTGGAAAAATTCCAAGAACCTGGGTTTCCTGACTTCCCAAACCTTTAGTCACCAGCTAGTTTTGTAGAAAGACTAGTCTATGTCAACCCAATTTACAACCATAGGCCACATAATCTAACCCACGCAACTTTGTTGAACTTCAGTTGGCTTTGTAAATTACTGTGGATGATTATTTAGATTTTATGTCACTATTTAACTCTTCTCTGACTATATTAGTTTATTGATGTCATGTTTAACTCACTGATATTAGGTTTAATTTGATGTTAGGTTTTTAATGCTGTTTTCATATGTTGGGTCTTTCTGGGATATTATGTCGTTTATCTGTTTTATGAAAGCATTGAATGTATGCAGCTGTATGTTGGAATCCACCTTGAGTCCTTTCAGGAAGACAGGGCGGAATAGAAATAAAGTTGTTTTATTATTAATAATAATAAAGCTGCAGCTTCGCAGCTTGGGTGTGATCCTGGATTCATCGCTGAGCCTGAAACCTCAGGTTTCAGCGGTGACCAGGGGAGCATTTGCACAGTTAAAACTTGTGCAGCAACTGCGCCCGTACCTTGGGAAGTCTGACTTGGCTACGGTAGTCCATGCTCTGGTTACATCCTGTATAGACTACTGCAATGCTCTCTACATGGGGTTGCTTTTGAAGATGGTCTAATCCACGAACAGCAGCCAGGTTGCTAATAGGAGCGGCGCTCAGGGAGCATACAACCCCCTTGTTGCGCCAGCTCCAGTGGCTGCTGGTTTGCTACCGGGCCCAATTCAAAGTGCTGGCTTTGGCCTATAAAGCCCTAAACGGTTCTGGCCCAACTTACCTGTCTGAATGTATCTCCCCTTACGAACCATCGAGGACTTTAAGATCATCTGGGGAGGCCCTGCTCTCGGTCCCGCCTTTGTCACAAGTACTTTTGGCGGGGACGAGAGACAGGGCCTTCTCAGTGGTGGCCCCTCAGCTATGGAACACCCTCCCTAGGGAGATCAGATCTGCTCCCTCCCTCATAACATTTCGGAGGCAAGTTAAAATATGGCTGTTTGAGGAAGTGTTTACAAATGCAGAGTAGCTAATATAGAAAATCAAATGATTTGACAATGGAACTGGACAATGTTTGATAATAATGAGACTCTAATGATATTGTTTTTATTGCTTTTGTGGTGTTTTATATTGTTTAATTTTTTAATTTATATTATGTTTTTATGTGTACTGATTTGTTGGAAACCGCCTTGAGTCGCCGATTGGCTGAGAAAAGTGGTATACAAATACAGTAAATAAATAAATTTATTATTATTATTATTATTAGTATTATTATTATTGAGGCTTGTTTGTGGTGGGTGCAAGAGCAGGCCAAGGGTCCAAACCCTACCTATAAAACACCCACCCAACCAGGGCTGGGATGGATTAGTTTGAAGAATTCTCCAGTGGGTATATGGCTAAGATAGCTGCGGGATGCTAAGAGTTTTCGTCCCATCCCCTAATATTTTTCCTACTGCTTGAAATAGTTTTTCTCTTCTCAATCTGTTTTCCTGTTTGTCAGCTGACAACAGATTTGGTGCAGGGGGCTGCAATTACAGTTCCTCATTCTAAAACCTTTGGTGCTAACACATAGAAACCTTAGTAGTATGTCAATTATTTTATATCAGTGGTGTCCAATCTTTTTTTGACCAGGGACCACTTTGATCAGGGACCACTCTACAACATTAGTACCAAAGGGGTTACAAATACGTTTTTGGTCAACTTTAGATTTAGTTTGGTTATTTGGAGTGCTGATTCAGAAAATTGCATTGGATAGAACACATCAGCTTTAGTTTCTAATACAGAACTTATGTCATCTGGTAGTTGCCATCTGCTTGCCCACAGAACCATATTTAATAAGCCTCGGCACTACAAGAGGGTTTCGTGAGCCCAGTCGCTCTCATTGCAACGGTGTAGTAACCGCGGACCATATTTTAGTTCTTGCGGACCATTGGTGGTCCACAGACCATAGGTTGGGAACCACTGTTTTATATGTATTACAGTGTGGAATTTCTATGTTATTTTTTCCCCAACTTTTTCAGAGATCACTGAGAAACATTGCTAGGTGTTTTCCCACTTAGATTTTTTTTTAAGTACAAGGGATTAATTGGGGAACATATGAGGAGCAAACTCCAGATTTACTGTTAGTGCAGTTTTTTCCAGTTCACTCCTTCCCATGCTGTTCCTCCAGTGCCTATTTTCCCTTAGATCCTGCTTCCCACTTTTAATACAAATGACATAAAGTCATTTGTTCTCACTGCCAGTGTATGGAACACACAACTTTAATCCTGGTACTTTCAGAATCTAAATAAATAAAAATGTAATGTTAGTTTGTGGGATTAACATAATTCAAAAACCACTGGACAAATTGACACCAAATTTGGACACTACACCTATCAGGCCGATTTTTATTTTATTTTTTTGTCGTGTCAGGAGCATCGCTTCTGTTGTGAGAGAATTGGCCGTCTGCGAGGACGTTGCCCAGGGGACGCCTGGATGATTTGATGTTTTTATCATCCTTGTGGGAGGCTTCTCTCATGTCCCCGCATGTGGAGCTGGAGCTGATAGAGGGAGCTCATCCGCCTCTCCCTGGATTCGAACCTGTGACCTGTGGTCTTCAGTCCTGCCGGCACAGGGGGTTTAACCCACTGCGCCACCGGGGGCTCAAGCCAATGAGTGACCATCAATCATAAAAACACTGAAAAACACAACAGAAGAGACTTAAAAATCCAAAAAAGCAAAAACATGCTGCAGCCCATGCACGACCCCCCCCCCAACAAAGCACAATAGCACATCCACACTCTCTTCTGGATTACAGCTCCCACCATCCCCTAGACCAGGCCCTTTAGGAGAGGAGGATGATCCAAATGCACTGCTTCCAAGATGCAAGCTTTCTTCTCCTTGGATCTCTATGAGAGCATCCCAAATCCTGCATATTTCCAATTTTCTATTCCTGGACTGCTACTCCCACCAATCCTCCAGATAGATAGATTAGAGGTAGGTAGGTAGATCAATCAGGAGGGGTGCTGGGAGTTGCAGTCTAAGAATAGGGAGAGAAGGAAGAAAGGGGAGAAAGAGGAAGGGAAAGAAAGGGGGGGGAGGAAGGGAAGAGGAAGAAAAGGAAGGAAGGAGAGAAGGAAGGGAAAAAAGGGAAGGAAAGAGATAAAGAAAAAAAGGAGGAAAGAGGGAGGGAAGGTTGGCCACAGCAACGCATGGTGGGTAGTTAGAATTTTTTTTCCTTAGTCCTTCCATTACATGTCAACAAAATAAGAAATCATTTGTTCATTGGATGCTTAAGCCTTTTTTTTTCTTTTTTTCAATTTGTAGGATCCAGCCAAGTTGTACAAGAAAGGCGGAGAAGCCACACCAATAGTTGAAGGCTCCACGGCTGAAGGCAGACTGAGAGAAAGCAGCTTGCTTTCAAGAAAACTGTCACCACTGCGTTCTGAAGTGATAGATTATGGGAAGTCAGCACTTTCTACTCCAATCAGTAATCACAATCCAGATTCAAAAGACAGGCTCAACGGAACACCAACGGTCACGGAAAAACTGGCTCAGCTGATTGCAACTTGCCCTCCTTCAAAGTCTTCCAAAACAAAACAGAAGAAGTCGTCCATGGGGATTGCTACAGGATTTGCAAAAGACTCTGGAAAGAAACTGCCTGTTGTGGTGGCCCCATCAGCTTCGGCTATCAAGGACTTTGTAAAGAAACAACCTGGAAATAGCAATGTGGGTGTTGTTTCGGGTAATAAGGAGTTTGCAAAGAAATCACCAGGGACTACTGTTGGCATTGGGTTAATCAGTAAGGATTCTGGGGGCAAAAAACAACCGGGCATTTGTCCCAATATGGTGGGGTTTGCTAGCAAAGACTGTGGGAGGAAGATACCGATCCTTAGTTCTCCGGTTGGACTGGTCAACAAGGAGAGCGGAAGAACATCATTAGCAACAGGCATGCCACTTGGGTTGATTAGCAAGGAGCCTGGGAAAAGACTGCTGGGAGCAAGCAGCCCAGTTGGGTCGGTCAACAAGGATCCTGCAAAAAGGCTGCTGAATTCTGTTAGCCCTCCTCCTCCTCCTCTGGTTAATAAAGACCCTGGAAAGAAGCTTCCAGGGTCTGGCAATCCAGTTGGACTGTTTAATAAGAATTCTGAGAAGAAACATTCAGGGTCAGATGGCCCAATTGGATTGATTAGCAAGGAGTCCGGGAAAAAGCTGTCAGGGTTCAGTACAACAAGTGGGTTAGTTAACAAAGACTCTGGAAAGAAACTCTTGGGGGCTAGTGGGGTGGTCTCCAAAGAGTCTGGAAGGAAGCCATTGGGGGTTAGTGGTCCAACCACCTTGAGTGGTAAGGACTCTGGGAAGAGATTGGCGGGAACCAGCAGTCCCTGCATGTTGACTAATAAAGACTCGGGGTCATTGAAAACGGATCTGGCTAGCTCTTCCTCAGAGCCCTACAAACGGTGTTGTGGTGCAAACCTCTTGAACATGGAAAGTCCTGGATTTTTAAAGGACAATGTTGGCAGTAAGCCGTTTGAAAAGCACATTGCAAGGCCAAGTAAGGAGAGCACCCCAGAAAAGTTGCCAATTCAAAACGAGGTCTCAAGTGGAAGCAAAGAAGGGAGCAGCAACAGTCAGCAGGATGGCTCTCTGTCCAGCGAAAAAGTCCCTTCTGAAACACCTAAGCATGACAAACAAGTGCCAGTGTATTGCACTTCTCCTGACTTCAGAACAACCGGAGGCGCTTCGGATGTCTCTACAGCCAAATCCCCATTCAGCGCGGTAGGAGAGGGAGGCCTCCCCTCTCCGTCCCCGGCTGCGTCTGTTACAACTTTAATCCGGAGCCCCAACACAACCTTGGCTCAGTTAGCTTCCAGCCCATTGCATTTAAATAGCACTCCTGATTTCTTAGAAGGAATTTCTGAGCAGATTAGCAAGACCCCGTTTGCCTCCGATAGTGCACGCTCGAGTATGAACAGGCTGTCGAATCCTAGCTCGCAAGCTACCAGCAAAGGGTTTGTGCGGGAGTTAAACAGTTCTGGTTCCGTTCACAGAGATGATCCTAAACTGAGCCCAAGCTTAGGCAAAAAACCCAGCCTGGCGACTGACTCAAGCGTCCGTGCCACCGTTGCCCCTTCAGTAGTGAGCTTCTCCAGCTTATTTAACAATAAGCCCTTTCTCAAGATGGGAGCCATGACTGTGTCAGGGAAACCGTGCCAAGGTGTGGAGTCCCTGAGCAGTGGTTGTAGCCCACAGACAAAGCCGTTTAAAAAAAGGAAAGGGAGGAAGCCCCGCTGGACCAAAGTCGTCTCTCGAAGCACCTGCCAACCTTCCAAAGGTCTCGAGCTCGGAAGGCCTGAACTTTTCAGTAACATTTCTTGCAGCTCACTGTCAAACAGTAGCCTGGACCAGACCAAGCTATTTAAAAGTGCAGGCCCTCTTTCCTATGCAGAACGTGACTTTGCCAAGCATCATTTCCCGAAGCTGAGCAAAGCCAGCAGCATGCAGTCTCTCGCTTTGTTAAACAGTGTTGAGAAAGAACCCAATAAATACTACAGTGCCCATATGCAGGCGTCTGTGGAGTGCATTTCTGATGACTTGCTGCCTGAAATGTACAAGTCCAAAAGGAGTAGGTCAAAATCTAAAGAGATGCCCCACTTGGAAGGCCCCCCAAAACGGACTCTGAAGATCCCTGCCTCAAAGGTTTTTTCAGTGCAGTCAAAGGAAGAGCAAGAGCCGCCAGTGTTGCATCCGGAGGTAGAAATTACCTCTTTTCGGCAGAGCCTCGTGGAAGACCCTTTTCCAAAGAAGAGAGGTCGCCCTAAAAGGCAGATGAGGTCAGGGGTCAAAATGCAACCTCCAGTCCTCTCCGTGGCTCCTTTTGTCACCACAGAGAGTTCTGACAAGTTGGAGTCAGATAGTGAGGAGCAGCAGCAGAGTGGGGATTTCTTTGAAGAGGCGAATCCATTAGGAGGTTCTGAGGAGCTTGGAAAAACGAGTGCCTGCAGCACGAGTGACCTTGAGGAAGAACCGGATCGGAAGGAGACTAAGCGCAACAATGGCCAGCTCATGAAAACCATCATAAGGAAAATCAACAAGATGAAGACGCTAAAGCGGAAAAAGCTCTTGAATCAAATCCTCTCGTCCTCTGCAGCCGAACCAAATAAAGGGAAAGTGCAATCAAAGCTCCAAACGACAGTATCGACGCTAGCTGCCACCTTTGGCTCCAAACTAGGCCAACAGATCAATGTAAGCAAGAAAGGAACGATCTACATAGGAAAGCGGCGAGGCAGGAAGCCAAAAGCTGTCCTGAACGACATCCTGGCTGGCAATTCCGGCGGCTTAATTGTGTTTGAAAAGTCTGCCCAGCAGGCATCTGGGACCACCCTAGGCCCGGCGATTCTTCCATTGCTTCCTTCAGTGTCTAGTAACAGTAATCCTGAGGTTCTTCCTTCACCTGTTTGTTCTCAGTCGTCCGGGGTAAGCGGGGGTCAAAGCCCCATCAGCAGCGACATGAGTTTTGTGGAGCCCAATTCAGTGCCGTACCTGCACCTCCACTCCCGGCAGGGGAGTATGGTCCAGACTCTCGCCATGCGAAAGGCCTCAAGAGCCAGAAGGAGGCTCTCTCCTCCTACTCTCCTGCCAAACTCCCCATCCCACATGAGTGAGCTCGGTTCATTGAAGGAAGCGACACCATCACCCATTAGTGAGTCCCACAGCGATGAGACTATTCCCAGTGACAGTGGGATTGGGACTGACAATAACAGCACCTCTGACAGGGCAGAGAAGTTCTGTGGCCCAAAGAAACGGCGGCACTCCTTCGACCACGTCTCTCTCGTGCCCCCGGAGACTTCCACGGTCTTGAGCAGCTTAAAGGAGAAACACAAGCACAAATGTAAGCGCCGGAGCCATGACTATCTGGCTTACGACAAAATAAAGAGGCAGAAGCGGAAGAGGAAGAAGAAATATCCACAGCTGCGGGGCAGGCAAGATCCCGATTTCTTGGCTGAACTGGAGGAGTTGATCAATCGCTTGAGTGAAATACGGATTACCCACCGGAGCCACCATTTCATCCCCCGGGATTTGCTGCCCACCATTTTCCGTATCAATTTCAACAGCTTCTACACCCACCCCACCTTTCCCTTGGACCCTTTGCACTACATCCGAAAGCCGGACTTGAAGAAGAAAAGAGGCCGGCCCCCCAAAATGCGGGAGGCGATGGCAGAAATGCCTTTCATGCATAGCCTCAGCTTCCCTCTTTCCAGTACTGGATTCTACCCCTCCTACGGTATGCCTTATTCTCCTTCTCCCCTTGCGGCCGCTCCCATTGGCTTGGGCTATTACGGGCGCTACCCGCCAACCCTTTATCCTCCACCACCTTCTCCTTCATTTACAACCCCGCTGCCGCCTCCGTCCTATATGCATACTGGCCACTTGCTCCTCAACCCCGCCAAGTACCACAAAAAGAAGCATAAGCTGCTCCGCCAGGAAGCCTTCCTTACCGCCAGCCGAGCGCCTCTCCTCTCGATGAGCACCTACCACCCCAGTGTCCCACCAGAGATGGCGTATGGCTGGATGTTGGAACACAAGCACCGCCACCGCCACAAGCACCGTGAACACCGCTCCTCCGAGCAACAGCAGGTTTCCATAGACAGCTTGGCGCCCAATGGCCCTTCGAGGACTGTCCTGGAGTCCTTGAAACGCTACCGGTTTGGGAAAGAAGGCGTTGGCGAGAGGTACAAGCATAAGGACAAGCACCGATGTCACATGGCTTGCCCACACCTGTCCCCTTCAAAAGGCCTGCTAGGCAGGGAGGAACAGTGGGTCCGGAGGGAGCCAGCGGAGTCAAACTCCCTCGCTCTGGGATTGCAGACACCTTTGCAGATCGAGTGCTCGGATGTCCCACCCAGCCTTCCCTTGGGCAGGTTCACACCAAGTTCTGAGCCAGCCAGCAGTGATGAACACACAAACCTTTTTACCAGTGCAATAGGCAGCTGCCGGGTTGCCGGCTCTGCTAGTTCCAGCGGACGTAAAAAAATGTCTGATGTTGCAGGCCTCTTCGGTCCCCAAGAAACGTCACTTGGCCGGGTCCTTCGAAAGGAAACGTTACCCCCTGGGGAAAAGGCAGTTCCAGTCCTTTCAGGTAAGAGACCTCTTTTGTTTAACTTGTTCCTAAGTGTGGTATAAAATGTTTCTCTTGTGTTCTATTTTCTGTTAGGTTTTGTTGTTTATATATTAGGTTTTATTTTGTATTCTTGTACTGTGTTTTTGTTTTCTGTAACCCACACTGAGTCATGTTTAGAGAGGAGGTGGGATATTTAAAAGCTTCTTTGGAAGCTTTTAAACAGAGGCTGGATGGCCATCTGTCAGGGGTGATTTGAATGCAATATTCCTTCTTCTTGGCAGGGGGTTGGACTGGATGGCCCATGAGGTCTCTTCCGACTCTTTGATTCTATGATTCTATAAATAAAGATTATTATTATTTGATACATAACAAGATTTGTACACAGCAAACAAGATCACTGGGTTGTTGTAGGGTTTTGGTTTCACCTCTAGACTGGATTACTGCAATGCGCTCTACGTGGGGCTGCCCTTGAAAACGGCTCGGAAATTCCAGTTGGTCCAACGGGCAGCAGCCAGGATGTTAACTGGGGCCCATTACAGAGAGAGGTCAACCCTCCTGTTTAAGGAGCTCTACTGGCTGCCGTTTATTTTCCGAGCCCAATTTAAGGTGCAGGTGCTTACCTACAAAGCCCTGAACGGTTTGGGACCACCCTACCTGCGTGACCGTATCGTTGTCTACGAACCCACACGTTCACTCCGGTCATCTGGAGAGACCCTGCTCGTGATCCCGCCCGCGTCACAAGCACGCTTGGTGGGGACGCGAGACAGGGCCTTCTCTGTGGTGGCCCCCGCCTCTGGAATGCCCTCCCGAAAGATCTCAGACAAGCCCCTACACTGGCAGTCTTCAGAAAGAATTTGAAAACCTGGCTGTTCCAATGTGCCTTTTCAGATTAGGAATCTCCCACTACCAAATCCCAGAAGCACTTTAGTACCAAATCACCGCACACTGCACACCGCACTTATATCATAATCCCACACCCCTCCGATACATCAGCACTTTTAACCTTGTACCCCTACTCCGGCCGACTCAGTTTTTAATAATGTCTTGTCGTATTGCTATTGTTATTGTTTTTCTGCTTAACTGTTTTTATTTGCTAGATATTGTATTGTTGTTTTGTGTTGGGCTTCGGCCAATTGTAAGCCGCATCGAATCCTGCGGGAGATGCTAGCGGGGTACAAATAAAGGTATAATAATAATAATAATTTAAAAAACCCCTTCAGTTATAGAGGCATTTTCTCCTGACGTTTCGCCTGCATTTATGGCAAGCATCCTCAGAGGTAGTGAGGTCTGTTGGAACTAGGAAAAGGGTTTATATATCTGTGGAATGGCCAGGGTGGGACAAAGAACTCTTGTCTGTTGGAGCTAAGTGTGAATGTTTCAACTGACCACCTTGATTAGCAGTTGATGGGCTGGCAGTGCCTGGGGCAATCTTTTGTTGAGAGGTGACTAGATGTGCCTGATTGTTTCCTCTCTATATATTGTCGAAGGCTTTCATGACCAGAATCACTGGGTTGTTGTAGGTTTTTTCAGGCTATATGGCCATGTTCTAGGGGCATTCTCTCCTGACGTTTCACCTGCATCTATGGCAAGCATCCTCAGAGGTAGTGAGATCTGTTGGAACTAGGAAAATGGGTTTATATATCTGTGGAATGACCAGGGTGGGACAAAGAACTCTTGTCTGTTGGAGCTAGGTGTGAATGTTTCAACTGACCACCTTGATTAGCAGTTGATGGCCTGGCAGTGCCTGGGGCAATCTTTTGTTGAGAGGTGATTAGATGTGCCTGATCGTTTCCTCTCTATATATTGTCGAAGGCTTTCATGACCGGAATCACTGGGTTGTTGTAGTTTTTTTTTTTTGGGCTATATGGCCATGTTCTAGAGGCATTCTCTCCTGACGTTTCACCTGCATCTATGGCAAACATCCTCAGAGGTAGTGAGGATGCTTGCCATAGATGCAGGCGAAACGTCAGGAGAGAATGCTTCTAGAACATTGTTGAGAGTGATTTTATGTGCCTGTTTGTTTTCTCTCTGTTGTTTTGCTGTTGTAATTTTAGAGTTTTTTTAATACTGGTAGCCAGATTTTGTTCATTTTCATGGTTTCCTCCTTTCTGTTGAAATTGTCTACATGCTTGTGGATTTCAATGGCTTCTCTGTGTAGCCTGACATGGTGGTTGTTAAAGTGGTCCAGCATTTCTGTGTTCTCAAATAATATGCTGGCTTTTGTATTTGATCAGACATTGGACACTTCCCAAGTGTATTGGCACATAATGTGTGCAGATCCAAGTAGGGTGGCCTTTTGCAGCTGACAGATGGTAATTTTGTCAGCGCCAATTGTTTTTAAGTGCAGTCCAAGGTCTTTAGGCACTGCACCCAGTGTGCCGATCACCACTGGCTTGTGCCAAAGTCTTTGCAGTTATCTTTAAATCCTCATATCGTGTAAGCTTTTCCAGTTGCTTCTCGTCAATCCTGCTGTCGCCTGGGATTGCACCATCGACAATCCATACTTGTTTTTTCCCATGATTTTGAGGTCAGGAGTATTGTGCTCCAAAACTCTTGTCAGTCTGGTTGTAGTTGTTGTTGTTGTGGTTGTTGTTGTGTACAAAAGCAGGTTGGAAAGCGCACTCCAAGACTACATTGTGATCAAGAGCAATTCTGTACGAATCTAGATGTAAGCCAGGTCCGAGGAATGTCTTGTCATAATAGATGATATGAAATCCAAATGGAGGCCTCAGGTTGCCAGTCTGACAGGGAGGAAAAGTATGTCAATACATGAAGGTGGTCTTAATCACAGCTCAAAGGCCCCAGGGTATTCGGGGCAAGCTTATCTTCCTTTTTGCAAGAGCAGTGGAGCTGAATACAACACCTTCAATGGGTTAAGTTTGAAAAATGGGGGGAGAAAACAGGTTGTCTTGGTTAGTGCAGTTCTGGGAATTTCCTGAGGAATTCCATTAGCATGAGTGAACTGACTTGGATTTGATGAGAAACAGCCTTAATTAGGAGGAAAACAGAGACGTTTTTCGGCCAACCCATCATGTGCCATCTCTGAATCATTGCATCTCTGCTAGTGCATTTAATTGGTGAGTCAGATGAAAATGTATCACTTTCAGTAAGTGCGTTTCCAACAATTGGAACCAGCTGTTTTCTTTGTAGAAGTTGCTTTGACCTCAGTTGGTGCATTCACAGTTTTCTGCCACATCTCAGGTATGTCAAGCAAAGGGGTCCAAAGTGCTATATCTAAGGTACAATGAGATCAAAACCTGTGGAGCTGGCCTTGTTAGATCCTTTTCACACATTAGGTAAAGGTCAGTGCAAGTTGCCCACCAAGTGTGTGCTCAGTTCTTTCACCAACGTGCCTCTGTAATGTGTGAAGAGAACCATAACTTCAGGTTTGGTGTTTATTTACATCGACAAATTTCTTGTGTTGTCGAAGGCTTTTATGGTCGGAATAATTGCATTGCTGTGAGTTTTCCAGGCTGTATGACCATGTTTCAGAAGCATTCTCACCTGACATTCCACCTACCTCTATGGCAGGCACCCTCAGAGGTTGTGAGGTCTTGTGGAAACGAGGCAAGTGAGGTTTATACATCTGTGGAATGATGTCCAGGGTGGGAGAAAGAACTCTTTGTGTTGGAGGCAAGTGTAAATGTTGCAATTGATCACCTTGATTAGCATTCCAAAGCCTTGCAGCTTGGGGGTACTGCTTTGCAGTGGTTCCAGTCCTTTCTTGAGGGACGGTCCCAGAAGGTGTTACTGGGTGACACCTGTTCGGCCCCACAACCGTTGTTGTGTGGAGTCCCACAGGGCTCAATTCTGTCCCCGATGTTATTTAACATCTACATGAAGCCGCTGGGGGAAATCATCCGGAGTTTCGGAATGAGGTGTTATCTCTACACAGATGATGTCCAAATCTGTCATTCCTTCTCACCTGTCACCAAGGAGGCTGTCCAAACCTTGAACCGGTGCTTGGCTGCTGTGTCGGACAGGATGAGAGCTAACAAATTGAAATTGAATCCAGACAAGACCGAGGTCTTACTGGTCAGTCGTAAGGCCGAACAGGGCATAGGGTTATAGCCTGTGTTAGATGGGGTTACACTCCCCCTGAAGACGCAGGTTCGCAGCTTGGGAGTGATCCTGGACTCATCGCTGAGCCTGGAATCCCAGGTCTCAGCGGTGGCCGGGAGAGCTTTTGCACAATTAAAACTTGTGCGCCAGTTGCGCCCGTACCTTGGGAAGTCAGATCTGGCCACAGTGGTCCACTCTCTTGTTACATCCCGAATAGATTACTGCAACACACTCTACATGGGGTTGCCTTTGAAGATTGTTCGGAAACTTCAATTAGTCCAGCAGGCGGCAGCCAGATTACTCACCGGAGCGTCATACAGGAAGCATACCACCCCTCTGTTATGTCAGCTCTACTGACTGCCAATCCAGTTCCGAGCACAATTCAAAGTGCTGGTTTTGACCTACAAAACCCTATACGGTTCCGGCCCAGCGTATCTGTCCGAACGCATCTCCTTCTACATCCCGCCTCGGAGTTTAAGATCTTCTGGGGAGGCCCTGCTCTCGGCCCCACCTCTATCACAAGTGAGATTGGTGGGGACGAGGAGCAGGGCCTTCTTGGTGGTGGCCCCTTGCCTGTGGAATTCACTTCCTGGGGAAATTAGGTCATCAACATCCCTCTCTTTTAGAAGGAAACTAAAAACATGGATATGGGACCAGGCCTTTGGGTAATCTGGCAGATAGACAAAGGACAATGACGACTAGAATTGATAGGATTTGACAATGTGGAATGAATTTACGGATTCTGAGCTGGCGAACGTTGAGCATTAGATTGGTTTTATTGATTGTGATGTATAATTGACTGTTTTAATTGTTTTATAACTGCTGTTGATATATGTTTTTATCTTATTGTTGTGTTGGCATCGAATTGTGCCTTTTGTAAGCCGCCCTGAGCCCCCCCTCGGGGGTTGAGAAGGGCAGGGTAGAAATGCGCGATATAAATAAATAAATAAATAAATAAATGCAAGGCCTGGCTACTTCCTGCCTGGAGGAATCCTTTGTTGGGAGGTGTTAGCTGGCCCTGATTGTTTCATGTCTGGAATTCCCCAGTTTTCAGAGTGTTGTTCTTTATTTACTGTCCTAATTTTAGAGTTTTTAAATACTGGTAGTCAGATTTTGTTCATTTTCGCGGTTTCCTCCTTTCTGTTGAAATTGTCCCCTTGCTTGTGGATTTCAGTAGCTTCTCGGTGTCGTCTGACATGCTGGTTGTTAGAGTGGTCCAGCATTTCTGTGTTCTCAAATAATATGCTGTGTCCAGATAGGTTCATCAAATGCTCTGCTGTGGCTCTCTTCTCTGGCTGAGTTAGTCTGTAGTGCCTTTCATATTCCTTGATTCAGCCAGGTCTTGAGGTATATAGTTTCCAATATACCTCACAACTTCTGAGGATGCTTGACGTAGATGTGGGCAAAAGTCAGGAGAAATGCTTCTGGAACATGCCCATACTGCCCAAAAAACTCTCAGCAACCCAGTGAATCCAGCCATGAAAGCCTTCAACAACACATTGAACATATTCTTTGTTTTTTAAATCTCTCTAAACCTCATAGTACTTGTGTATGTTGGTTTGTACCACAAAGGCCTCTTCATGTCTTGATGAATGTGGACCAAACTTGGCACACATACCCTTCATTACGCAACATAAAATAATGGTAGGGTTTCAACTACAAAATCAACCTTGTTTTGTGATAAGGACTCCCAAAATTACAAAAAAAAGCCAGTATATAGTTAGAAAGGATTAGCTACCAGCCTATAGGTATGTATGTGTGTATGCAGTGCTTTGATGCAACCACAAGAGACAGTCTATAGATAGAAAGGCCTACAACACAGCCTTGAAGGCCACAGTCCACCCCATTAGGAAGTAATCCATTTAATGAAGATTATATTTGAAGTACATGCGTGTGTGTGTGCTGTAATGTTGCTGTTCACCTTCAGTGGCATCTGTGCATCCAGATTTCTTTCTGACCTTGTTTTTGCTCTTCAGCGGGAATCCTTCCAGCACAGGACAAACCCTTGCAGAGGTCAACAGAGGGCACAAGCTCTAGCCCTTCCAGAAAAAGGTCTTCGTCTGAAAGCACATCTTCCACAGGTAAATAATGTTTCTCTTTCTGAAAGTCTGTTGTCTTTCTACTTAGAGATAATCCAGCAGATCGACCTACTGATCCTGGTTTGGCCTTTCCAGTTACTTACTTACTTACTTACTTACTTAGGCGATCCCTCGTTGGCCGAGTAGGATAGTCTTCCAGGATCAGTATTCTGGTGTGTCCGTAGGTGACTGTGGAGCCCTATTCTTGATCTGCATCTTCTCCCACAATGAGGGCATTGGTTTCCAGGTGGAAGGCGATCTTGGTCGGGGTTGGCTTGACGTGCCTTCCTCTTGGCACATCTCTCTCTTTCACCCTCCATTCGTGCCTCTTCAAATTCTGCAGCACTGCTGGTCACAGCTGACCTCCAGCTGGAGTGCTCAAGGGCCAGGGCTTCCCAGTTCTCAGTATCTATGCCACAGTTTTTAAGGTTGGCTTTGAGCCCATCTTTCAATCTTTTTTCCTGTCTTCCAACATTCCATTTTCCGTTCTTGAGTTCAGAGTAGAGCAACTGCTTTGGGAGATGGTGGTCAGGCATCTGGACAACATGGCCAGTCCAGTGGAGTTGATGGCGGAGGATCATGGCTTCAGTGCTGGTGGTCTTTGCTTCTTCCAGCACGCTGACATTTGTCCGCCTGTCTTCCCAAGAGATTTGCAGGATTTTCCGGAGGCAGCGCTGATGGAATCGTTCCAGGAGTTGCATGTGACATCTGTAGACAGTCTACGTTCGCAGGCGTATAGCAGGGTTGGGAGGACAATAGCTTTATAAGCAAGCCCCTTGGTATCCCTACAGATGTCCTGGTCCTCAAACACTCTCTGCTTCATTTGGAAAAATGCTGCACTCGCAGAGCTCAGACAGTGTTGTATTTCAGTGTCGATGTTGACTTTGGTGGAGAGGTGGCTGCCAAGGGAGTGGAAATGGTCCACATTTTCTAATGTTACACCATTAAGCTATATCTCTGGCGTTGGAGAGGGATTGGCTGGTGACTACTGGAACAGCACTTTGGTTTTCTTGATGTTCTCGTATGCTTCTGCGAAGGTGTTTAGAGTGGCTTGTAGATCTTATTCTGAATGCGCAAGCTGTTTAACCTCAGCAGACTGAAAGCCAAAACCAAGGTTACCACAACATGTTATACAACTCCAGTATGCTGATGACAACGTCGTCTGTGCGCATTCAGAAGATCTACAAGGATACTCCACTTTGGCAGAAAAAATGAAATGCAAAGATACAGAATGGGGGACGATGCCTGGCTCGAGAGCAGTACGTGTGAAAAAGATCTTGGAGTCCTCGTGGACAACAAGTTAAACATGAGCCAACAATGTGATGTGGCGGCAAAAAAAGCCAATGGGATTTTGGCCTGCATCAATAGGAGCATAGTGTCTAGGTCCAGGGAAGTCATGCTACCCCTCTATTCCGCTTTGGTTAGACCACATCTGGAATATTGTGGTGCCCAGAATTGAAGAGAGATATTGACAAGCTGGAATGTGTCCAGAGGAGGGCGACTCAAATGAGGTTCTGGAGAACAAGCCCTATGAGGAGCGGCTTAAGGAGCTGGGCATGTTTAGCCTGAAGAAGAGAAGGCTGAGAGGAGATATGATAGCCATGTATAAATATGTGAGAGGAAGCCACAGGGAGAAGGGAGCAAGCTTGTTTTCTGCTTCCCTGGAGACTAGGACACGAAACAATGGCTTCAAACTACAAGAAAGGAGATTCCATCTGAACATGAGGAAGAACTTCCTGACTGTGAGAGCCGTTCAGCAGTGGAACTCTCTGCCCCGGAGTGTGGTGAAGGCTCCTTCTTTGGAAGCTTTTAAACAGAGGCTGTATGGCCATCTGTAAGGGGTGATTTGAATGCAGTATTCCTGCTTCTTGGCAGGGGGTTGGACTGGATGGCCCATGAGGTCTCTTCCAACTCTTTGATTCTATGATTCTATATCCAAGAGGCAACATTCAGAATGCAAAGATATCAATGTACAGGGAAATAAGATTTTCCCACTTCTATTACATTAAGTTTAATTTGCTTGGGACAATAGCAGTAATAGTAATAGATACAGGTGCAGAATTTGTGGTTGCTACAGAAAAGCATTTTTATGCCAATGTACTGTTTCTTTCTTGCTTGCACTCCAGTCTGTTGTTCCATCCCTAATTATGCAAATTATATGAAAAATGAGTGGCAGTGAAGCACAGAGATCTTCTACTCCAGTCTTCTAAAGGTGCCATTGTGTAGCTGATGCAATTGGTTGACAATTGGCTAATGGTACAAAGAGAAGCTGGGCCACAGCTGGAGAGAAAGCAGCAGGTGGCATAGCAGTGGTAGATACCACGCACGACAGATCAGAGCAATATTGAATGGTGCATATATAGTTGCCCTTAGTTAGCAAGGTTATCTTGTGGAAGAGTGAGGATGGGAAGGGCTCAGAATGGGAGCCTTCCTCTGCAAATGGATTGCTCTCCAGTGATGCCTGGCCGATGCTGCAGCTGTCACCAGCCTCCTGCCCTTGCCCTCTGATCTTCTTTGGCCTTTCCCAAACATGGGAGTGCTGGTTCAAGGGTGGACCATCAAGACATGGCATCCTCCTTTTTTTCCAAAGCTTGTAATTCGTGCAGCTGTTTAGATAGCTCTTATTTCCTTAGCAGGTGGTGGGCCACAAGGAATCCCAGAAAAATTCACTTGCCTCTCAAAGAGGGCTATGAAAGGTTAGCTGTACACAGTCCTAAAAAAACACCAAAATATGTATGTATTTGTGCAGCATCAAATAGCTGCCTACTGTGAGGCTGCTCTGAGTTCCCTTTGAGGTGAGGGGGGCAGGCTATAAATGTGGTAAATCTATATAAATAAAAATGTAATGTTCATTTGTGGGATTATCATAACTCAAAAACTACTGGACAAATATGACACCAAATTTGGACACAAGACACCTACTAACCCAAGGAGTGACAATCGCACCAAAAAAAATTGATTGTTGAAGGCTTTCATGGCCGGAATCACTGGGTTATTGTAGTTTTTTCGAGCTATTGCCATGGTCTCGAGGCATTCTCTCCTGACGTTTTGCCTGCATCTATGGCAAGCATCCTCAGAGGTAGGGAGGTCAGTCTCCTGCCCTTGTTTTCTGATCTTCTTTGGCCTTTCCCAAACATGGGAGTGCTGGTTCAAGGGTGGGCCATCAAGACATGGCATCCTCCCTTTTCTCCAAAGCTTGTAATTCGTGCAGCTGTTTAGATAGCTCTTAAAAAAATGAATTTGTCTTTTGGGAGTTGTAGTTGCTGAGATTTATAGTTCACCTGCAATCAAAGAGCATTCTGAACTCCAACAATGATGGAATTGAACCAAACTTGCCACACAGAACTCACATGACCAACAGAAAAGGCTGGAAGGGTTTGGTGGGCATTGATCTTGGGTTTTGGAGTTGTAGTTCACCTACATCCAGAGAGCACTATGAACTCAACATTGATGGATCTGGACCAAACATGGCACGAATACACAATATGCCCAAATGTGAACACAGATGGAGTTTGGGAGAAATAGACCTTGACCCTTGGGACTTGTAGATACTGGGATTTAAAGTTCACATACATTCAAAGAGCATTCCGAACCCAACCAATGATAGGATTGGGCCAAACTTCCCATACAGAATCCTCATAACCAAAAGAAAATACTGTGTTTTCTGGTGGTCTTTGATTACCCTTCTCACACCCCCTCACGACCCCCCAGGGGTCATGCCTCTCAGGTTGAGAAATGCTGCCTTAAGGCCAACCAGTCCAACTCCCTTCATCCAAGCAAGAAAACATAATCAAAGCCCTCCTGACAAAGAACCATCCAGCCATAGATAGACAGACAGACAGACAGACAGACAGATAGATATAGATATGATTCACTCACACACACACACACACATATATATATAGATATAGTATCATAGATTTGAAAGGGACCCCTAAAGAAGGACAATTATATGTTGCATGTTCCAGAGTAGGCGAATCAGACAATCTCTACATCAACACTGACAAAGAAACAACAAGAAATACTGTTTACCCACAAGCATAAAGAAATTACGTATATTAGAAATCAACACTTTCTCATTACTTTATTTTCCAGATCACCAGACTGGGCCACAACAACGTGTGGCAGGGGATGGCTAGTATATAAATAAAACCAATACAATGTATAATTTAAAACCTAAGACATGTAAACACTAAAATAGATTGTCATTTCCTCTGCTTACGTCATTCTTTTCAAGCTCAGTTCAAGAGGTAGCTCTTTTTGCTCCTCTAAAGGCTATGCGATCAGATTGCCTTCAGAATGGCTTTCTCCCGTTGAGCTAGATCGGTATCCTGTTTCATGTACCTTTGCTAGTATTGTTTCAGCAAATGACTGTGAGAGATGGGGTTGCTTCAAGTATGCCACCATTGCGGAAGCCTGCCCTCCCCATTCGCTGATCATTTTTAATCATATGTCAGAGCATAGGCCTTTGAAAAAAGATAAGTGTGCATAAATAACGAAAAGCTAGACATCTTTACATTGCATTTTCTGTCTTTCCAGTGACTGGGGTTCCTGCGCGAAACACAAAGCTAGGCTCGGCAGTGGAGGATCCTGTGGATAATCTGTTGCAGCGCATGGCTCAGCATGAAAGCCAGAGTGTGCTGGAGAAGACCTTTGAGACCGTTATGGCGAGTGTCCCTGCTGCGCCCTCGGGGAGCCCCTGTCAGAGCCCCAGCCGGGAGAAAATGCCAGGGGACTCGGGCAACGATGGCCTCTCACTCCTTTCCGACCGCTTGTTAAGTAGTTACTCTCCCCATCATTTCAAGAGGAGTGTGGTGGAAGCCATGCAGTGCCAGGCGAGGAAAATGTACAATTACGACAAGATTTTGGCCACTAAGAGAAACCTGGACCACGTGAACAAAATCCTCAAAGCCAAGAAATTACAGCGGCAAGCGCGGACTGGCAATAACTTTGTCAAGCGTCGGCCTGGCCGGCCTAGGAAGTATCCCTTGCCCTCGGTAGTTTCATCACATGTCCTTCAAATGAACCGGTTTCTCAGCCAAGAGCTGGAGAGCGCAGACCAAGGCTACTTGCTCCACCGTGGCCCCGATACTGTCAAAGATGCCATAGAATCTGTGGTTCAGGGAGTGAATGTGAAGGGCTGGAAGAGGAAGAGGTGGCAGGAAGAGGAACAGGCCAGGAAAAGGCAGAAGGCTCTGCCGGAGGATGAAGAGGAGAGCAATAAAAGGTAATCCCTTTGTGTTTGGAGACTGCTATCCTATAGATAGATGGGATAAAGGAAGCTTCTAGCTCAGGAACAGCAAGATAAATAAATGAATATTTATTTATTTATTTGCTACATTTGTATACCGCCCCTCTCAAGCCCGTAGGTGACTCGAGGCGGTTCACAAGGCAACAATTCAATGCCAACAATATCATAAAAACATTAAAACATTAAAAAGCATTAACACATCAGTTAAAAACCATGAAAGTAGTAAAAACAATCATTTCGTCTCCTAGATAAAAAACATAATCCAATCTCATAGTCCAATTGTTCCATAATCCTATGTCTAATTACACTGCCTTTTCAAACGCCTGCTCAGATAGCCAGGTTTTGACTTTTTTTCGGAAAATCAGAAGGGAGGGGGCTGATTTAATGTCCCTAGGAAGAGCGTTCCATAGCTGAGGGGCCACCACTGAGAAGTCCCCGTCAAACGTATTTGTGACTCAGATGGAGTCAAGATCAGAGCCTCCCCAGATGATCTTAACATCTGAATATGCTCGGTTAGCTGCTGAATTTTCTGACTGAAAGGTCGGCGGTTTGAATCTGGGGAGCGGAGTGAGCTCCGACTGTTAGCCCCAGCTTCTGCCAACCTAGTAATTTGAAAACATGCAAATGTGAGTAGATCAGTAGGTACCACTCCGGCAGGAAGGTAACACGCTCCATGCATTAATGCCAACCACATGACCTTGGAGGTGTCTACAGACAACACCAGCTCTTTGGCTTAGAAATTGAGATGAGCACCAACACCCAGAGTTTGACACAACTAGACTTAATGTCAGGGAAAAAACTTTACCTTTACTACCAGTTTGTACCAGAGTATATCTATTGTGGTACAGTTGCTTTGAACTTTACTTCCCATCATTTCTTATTATTGGCCATGCTGGCTGGGAATTTTATGAGCTGCAGCTCTTAATTCAAAGTACTGACTTTGACCTCCTAAGCCATATATGGTTCAGACATAGGTTATGTGAAAGGCCGTTGTCTCCTGTGGAGATCTGCTGAGCAGGCCCTTCTCTGTCACATCAACCTCAATGATATATCACAGAACAAGGCCTTTTCCGTCGCTTCCCCCAGGATCTGGAAGTCCCTTCCCAGAGAAGTTAGACTGGAATCCTTCCTACTTTCTTTTTGCAGACAAGTAAAGGTGTTTCTGTTTTGATATGCATTTGATGGCCAGCTGGATAAAGTCTGTCTCACTTAAGCAATATGCTAGATCTTGCTAGATCACCATTGTTGTGGTTTTGCAGGTATACATGTTTAATGATACATGTTTCAGTTTGGTTTTAATGTTTTGATTGCTTGATATCATTTTAACTTTTGTATCTTGTTGATTCAGATATATTTTTAATTTGTTATAGGCTGTTTTTGAGTCCTGAAATATGGAAAAGATGTCATAGAAATAACAATGATGGTGATGATAATAACAATACCCACAAGGAGAGGTGGGTAATACATTTATATTTAATAATAATTATAATAGCAATAACTGCATGACTGAGATCATCATTATTACGTATTGTTGTGGTATGTATCATTAAACATGTACACACACACCACAACAAATGGCAATGTGATCTATACACACAATACAAGTGAAAATATGTATGCGTGCATGTGGCTGAGCTGTCCACTTACACAGACCATCTCCTGCCTCCACAAACAACTATAGCTCTCACTACTCAGGAAACACCAATGGCCCTCCCTCCAATGACATTGCATGCTATAGTGAGCGCTATGAAACATGTACAAGACACCTGCCAATGTACTCTACCAACACAATACTGCTCACCACCAAGTGAAGGCTTTCATATGGGGACAATTTCATCCTAGATTTTATGTTTTTCCCCCACCACAGATATCTTAGTGTTTCTTGCTCTCTCCATTGTTGTGGAATTTGCATGACCCCTCCCACTGACTCTCCCTTAACCATTTCCTATTCTTTTCTGTGACACACAGTAAACAGAGGAAGTGATCAGCAACTGAACATACTAGAGAGGTTTGGGAAGAATTCACCATGATTTATAGGAGTTGTAGGTACTGAGATGAACTCCACCAGTGATGGACCTGGAACTAACTTGGCACACAGAAGCCCCATGACCAACAAAATATACTGGAGGGGTTTATAGAAGTTGTAGTTCACCTACATCCAGAGTGCACTATGAACCCAGACAGTGATGGATCCAAACCAAACTTGGCATGCATACGCATTGTGCCCAAATTTGAATACTGGTGGGTTTGGGGGGGAATTGGCCGGGACATTTTGGAGTTATAAGTCCTGGGAATTATAGTTCACCTGCAATCAGTGAACACTCTGAACTCCACCAATAAGAAGGACCTTGACCTAACTTGGCACACGAAACCTCCATGACCAACAAAAAATACTGGAGGTCTTTGGGGAAAATTCATCTTGAGGAGTTATAGTTCACCTGCAGTCAGAGAGCAGTGTGAACCCAAACATTGATGGATCTGGACCAAACTTGGCACACATACCTGATATGCTGAAATTTGACTCCTGAAGGGCTTTGGGGGGGAACTGACCTTCTTTCTGGGAGTTGTAGTTCACCCACAACTGACTTCTACTTATGATGGACCCGCACCAAACTTGGCACACAAAACCCCCATGACCAACTCAATCTACTGGATGGGGTTTGAGGCAACTGACTCACCATAGTGGGAGTTGTAGTTTACCTGACAGCCAGAGAGCCCACCGAGGATGCATCCAGAGCAAACTTGCCCGACAAAACAAATTTTAAGTAATGATGGAGCTTTTCGAGGCTAACCTGGCAGGATGTGAGTTGTAGTTCACCCACAACCTGGGCAACGCCGGGGCACCCAAGCTAGTTATCATTAGATGGATCAGATCATTATTATTATTGTTTATTGTTGTGGCATGTATAATGAAATACGTATCATTAAACATGTATATACACACCACCACAGTAATTAGCAATATTTCATCATAATCACGTGAAGGCCTTTTCTCTGATATCAGAACATAAAAAGTAGGCTGAAGCAGCTTTCTTGTCTATCCCAGTCTTTTCTCCTCTGTTTGGGAATAATATACAAAGCAATCTCTCCCTGCATGTTATTGTCCTTTTAATGTTTCTGCTGCATACATGCTTATTTTCTCTGGCTTTTCTCCTTCTAGCTTTTCTGAAATGGCAACTGAGTCCACTACTTGTGAGGAAGTGATAGTGAAACCACGTGAGTTGGAAACCCTTGAGCAGCCGCTGATTTCTCCTGTCCAGCGGGAAAAGAAAGCTCCACGACCCCCAAAGAAGAAGTACCAGAAGGCTGGGCTATACTCCGACGTATACAAAACCACTGAGTAAGCTGGATTATCATTCTGTTACAGGCTTGTTAAGTCTGTTTCTCATTTCTCTGAATTAGAAATTGAAAATCTGACATTGAAAGGCAGAGTCCCCTTGGAGAAATAGGGCGAAATATAACTAAATTTATTATTATTATTATTATTATTATTATTATTATTATTATTAATTATTGTGCTTTTTCAGGCCTGAAAGAACACTTTAACAGATGCAGGATCATCAGCCGCAGGCCTGAATATGAGAATTTTTAAAGTATATTGAAATGTCTAAACACTTTTTTAGCAATAATAATAATAATAAAATAAAACTTTATTTATACCCTGCCACAATCTCCCCAAGCGGAGTCGTGGTGGCTTACATGAGACCAAGCCCAACAACACATCAATAAACAACAAAGCAAGAAGCAAATAAACAATATAATTAATAAAACTCACATATCTATATAAACAAAAATGTAATGTTTGTTTGTGGGATTAACAGAACTCAAAAACCACTGGACGAATTGACACCAAATTTGGACACAAGACACCTAACAACCCAATGTATGTCCTTCACTCAAAAAAAAATTATTTTGTCATTTGGGAGTTGTAGTTGCTGGGATTTATAGTTCACCTACAATCAAAGAGCATTCTGAACCCCACCAATGATGGAATTGAACCAAACTTGGCACACAGTTCTCCCATAACCAACAGAAAATACTGGAAGGGTTTGGTGGGCAGTGTCCTTTGGTTTTGGAGTTGTAGTTCACCTACATCCAGAGATCACTGTGGACTCAAACAATTATGGATCTGGACCAAACTCTACACAAATACTCAATATGCCCAAATGTGAACACTGGTGGAGTTTGGGGGGAAAGAATCTTGACATTTGGGAGTTGTAGTTGCTGGGATTTATAGTTCACCTACAATCATCGAGCATTCTGAACCCCACCAACAATAGAATTGGGCCAAACCTCCCACACAGAACCCCCATGTGGGCCACAGCAATGCGTGGCAGGGGACGGCTAGTTATATATAATAGGACCTGAGTATTCATGGAGTTTTGGAGTTTCTCTTGGAAGAAAACCTCAGCGGATACAGAGAGCTCACTGTACTTTGGGGGGATTTAGACTAACAGTTTCATAGAAAATGGCACACAAGCATTGTTTTCAGTACAACCCTCATATCATTCGCATTTCCAAGCTAGAACACTTGACACAAATACAGTACAAATTGCTGCTACTTGCATCTGTTGCTCTGCACAGACAATGCTGGTGAGACTTTTTCAAGCCTGTGTTCGCCCAAGGGAGGCTTCTAGAGCAGACTTGCTCTTACTCTGAGAAGCACTCGCATGCAACTTATTCTATCCAGAGCCCACACGCAAAATTCTTGAATGGCTTCCAAGGTAAAGAATACTTTTGCTCACAAGACGAGTGACTCATGAGCATTTCCTATTCTGTTTTCCTTAAAGGAGAGATCAGAAACCTCTTCTTTAAACCCAGGGAGCTTTTCAGTCTCATTACCAGTGCAGCTCATAAATAACTTTCCCCGAGTAGGGAAAACACTTACCATTTGACTCCTGGTTGCTCTTAACAGTAGTAAGATCTTTTTTTTCATGGAAGAAGGTCTTCCATGTTTTGCAAAGTGAAGTGAACCAGAGCGCAGAAGATATTGAATTCATTGCAAAATGCATTGCTCTTAACAAGACCATGATGCAAATTGGAATTTTATAGACTCTCGCGTTCATTAAAATACAAATTTAAAATCCCACATTTTAATACACAAGGGAAATGTGTATGCTTTCTATTTCTTCTGCAGTCCAGGGAGGCAATCATTGAGATTTGCCGTGATATTGCAGCTCTGTAAGTGTGTGTATTGGTGCTTAATGTGAAGATATATATACTTCAAGTCAACTGTCAACACACAGTATTTACATGTAATTTAATTGCATAAATTGTATTTTAATTATATTTTAACTTTATATCCATCTGTATAAATAAAAATGTAATGTTCGTTTGTGGGATTAACATAACTCAAAAACCACTGGATGAATTGCCGCCAATTTTATTATTATTATTATTATTATTATTATTAACTTTATTTGTACCCTGCTAACATCTTCCAAAGGACTCGGTGCGGCTTACAAAGGCCAATTTTGGCCACAAGATACCTACTAACCCAAGGAGTGACCATCACACAAAAATTTTGATTTTGTCATTTGGGAGTTGTAGTTGCTGGGATTTATAGTTCACCTACAATCAAAGAACACTCTGAACTCCACCAATGATGGAATTGAATCAAACGTGGCACACAGAACTCCTGTGACCAGCAGAAAATATTGGAATGGTTTGGTGAGCATTGACCTTGACTTTGGGAGATGTAGTTCATCTACATCCAGAGAGCACTGTGGACTCAAAACAATGATGGATCTGGGCCAAATTTGGCATGAATATTCCATATGCCCAAATATGAACATAGATGAAGTTTGGGAAAAATCGTGCTTGACATTTGGGAGTGGTAGTTACTGGGATTTACAGTTCACCTACAATCAGAGAGCATTCTGAACCCCACCAACAACAGAATTGGGGCAAACTTCCTACGCAGAACCCCCATGACCAACAGAAAATACCATCCAGTCCAACTCCCTTCACCAGAGCAAGAAAACATAAGACAAACAGCCATAGATATAGATAGATATGATACACACAGAGAGAGAGAGAGAAAGATAGTATGATAGATTTAAAACTGACCCCTAAAGAAGGACAATTACATGTTGCATGTTCCAGAGTAGGCAAACCAGACAATCAACACTGACCAAGAAACAGCAAGGAATACTGTTTACCTACAAGCAGAAAGAAATTACGTATATTAGAAACCAACACTTTTCATTACTTTATTTTCCAGATCACCAGATCTGGGCCACAGCAGTGCGTGGCAGGGGACGGCTAGTACATTGATATTTAAATACTTTCTTTTTTGGGTATTTGCTTTGTTTTAAATTGTCATTAGATTGTGTGCCACCTTGAATCTCCATGGGGAGAAAGATTGGGTGTAAATAAAGTGGGGTGTTGTTATAAGAATAACAAGAATAAGAATTACAACAACATATGGCAACGTACTCTGGTTTCTCTTCAGATCGTATAACAACATATGGCAGCCCCATGAATTTCAAAAGAGCGTCTTAGGCAAGGAATATTCAGAGGTCGCTTTGTCAGTTACGTCCTCTGAAATATCACGTACAGCACCTGACATTTGTTGGCAATCTTTTGTCTAAGGACTGACCAGGCCTGACCCTGCTTAGTTCCCAAGATCAGATATAATCTGGTGCATTTAGGCCTTTTATCACAGATGTAAGAGAATCGTTGAACATAACCTCCTTCTATTCTGAAGTCCTCATGAGCCTCCTCCTCTAATTGTTAAGTAGCTTGGGTACCTGGTGTTGCCCGGGTTATTAGAAGAAGTCATTTGTTTATTTTACAAAATGCATTAGGTTGTGGATGTACTACAACTCCCTGCAACTCCATCAATACTTAAAAGTTTGTTATGTTGGGCAAGTTTGCTCTAGATCATTGGTTCTCAGCCTTTGAGTCCCCAGGTGTTTTGGCCTACAACTCTCAGAAATCCCAGCCAGTTTATCAGCTGTTAGGATTTCTGGGAGTTGAAGGCCAAAACATCTGGGGACCCACTGCTCTAGATGCATCATTGGTGGGGTTCAGTATGCTCTCCAGCCGCAGAATGAATTACAAATCCCTCCAGTATGTTCAGTTGGTCATGGGGATTCTGTGTTCCAAGTTAGGTCCAGGTCCATCATCGGTGGGGTTCGGAGTGCTCTTTGATTGCAGGTCAACTAAAAATCCCAGTACCTACAACTTACAAATGACAAGGCCAATTCCACCCAAACCCACCATTAATCAGATTTTGGCCTATCAGGCATGTGTGCCAAATTTGGTGGAGATCCATCGTTTTTTGCATTCACTGTGCTCTCTGGGTTGGTGGGGTTCAGAGTGCTCGTTGATTGCAGGTGAACTATAAATCCCAGTACCTACAATGGCTATAAATTAGAGCGAATTCCCGAATTCCCCCGAAACCTCTCCAATATTTTTTTTTTGTCATGGGGGTTCTGTGTGCCAAATGTGGTCCAGGTCCATTGTCAGTGGGAGTCACAGTGCTCTGACTTGATGCAGGGTGAACTACAACTTCCATCATCTGGAGTCAATCCCCCAAACTCTTCCAGTATGTTTAGTTGCTGATTAGTTCTGCTCTGTTTGTTATTCAGACAGAGTTGAAAATAGTAAGAAAGGGTTAAGGGAGAGGCAGTGGGCGGGATTATGCAAATTCCACATCAGTGGAGAGAGTAAGAAACTCTGTTGGAGGAAACATGTAAAATCTAGGATGAAATAGTCCCTGAATGAAAGCATTCCTTGGGTGGTGGGCAGTATGGTGTTTGGGGAGGACATTGGCAGGGGTTGGGCTACATGTTTATAGTGCTCACTATAACCTGTAATGTCATTGGAGGGAGGGTTTTTGGTGGTTCCTCAGCACTGTGGGTTAAAGCTGTTTGTGGAAGTGGGAGCCTGTCTATGGAATATAGAATATAAAATATAGATTCGGTATATAGATTTACACAATTCAAGTTAATTCTTAGTTGGGTCCTATAGCGACCAATGGAGTTCCAAAGAGCTTGTGCTCATTCTTCCTCCCCTTTTCTGCGTTTCTTCCCAGCCCCAAAAGCCGACTGATCCAGTTGAAGAAAGAGAAGCTGGAATACACTCCTGGAGAGCATGAGTACGGCTTGTTCCCGGCACCTATTCACGTGGGTGAGTGACATCTTTGTGAACATTGCACACTATGAAGGGCCTGGCATTGGACTTCTTGGGGTGAAGCAGAGATTATATTTTCCAAAATAGTTGATAATGTTGTGGGCCTGGAGATGTTGAGAGATTCGGCTCTGGACAGTGGAGAGCCACTAATCATTTCCCAGTTTTGTTTGAGGAACAATATCCACATAATTCATAGCTGTTCATGTTCTGGCAGGAGAGAGGTTAAGGAGAACACAATTGGTTGGCCAGATCCATGTTCTTAAGAGGTGTGAGGCTGCTCTTATCCAAAAGGATTATAAGAGAAGGAAATTTCATGAGGTGTTCTTTCTGAAGACGCAGATTCGCAGTTTGGGAGTGACCCTGGACTCATCGCTGAGCCAGGTCTCAGTGGTGGCCGGGAGAGCTTTTGCACAATTAAAACTTGTACCCCAGCTGTGCCCGTTCCTTTGGAAGTCTGACTTGGCCACGGTGGTCCACCTTCTTGTTACATCCCAAATAGACTACTGCAACGCACTCTACGTGGGGCTGCCTTTGAAGACTGCCCAGAAGCTTCAACTAGTCCAACGGTCGGCAGCCAGGTTGCTCACTGGAGCAGTGTACAGGGAACATACAACTCTTTTGTTACGCCAACTCCACTGGTTGCCGATCAGCTTCCAAGCACTATTTATTTATTTATTTACAACATTTCTATGCCACCCTTCTCACCCTGAAGGGGACTCAGAAGGGCTTACAAGTTAAAAGTAAATATAATATATTATATTATTAACATAGCACAATATTAATATTCTATATTACATTGTACTATAACATTATACTGTAATATTATTAGTAATATTACATTTAATATAAAATATATAATTATAATATCATATTATTAGTAGTAGTAGTAGAGTGCTCCTTACTCCGTGCTCTGCTGCAGGCCCTGCAAAGTCTGGGCACGTAGGCCCAATGTCTGCAACCGTAGGCCTGGGCGCTTTGGGCCTACAAGTGCAGGCTTTGGGCCTACGTGCCAGGGCCTGGCAGGGCCTGAAACTGAACGCCAAGTAAGGAGCACACCTTAGTTGGCGCTCGGCTGTAGGCACTCCAGTGCTTTGGGCCTATGGGTGCAGACTTTGGGCTTATGCACCTGGGTCTGGCAGGGCCTGCAGCCAAGCGCCGAGTAAGGAACGCTCCTTTGGGCCTACAGGTGAAGTCCGTCCACACACCCCACACAACCCCCCCCCCCCAAATATTTGGCTGAAAGAAAACGAAAAACAAGTATCTGCTGTTCCGATATTGGGAGGCTCAGTCAAAACGGATCAGGGCCTCCACAGAAAGCTGGGACATGAAACGGATCAAAGTTTACTCCGAATGCACATGACTAGTTGAGATCCTTATTTGGCCCCTCTACAGCAGGGGTCCTCAAACTTTTTAAACAGAGGGCCAGGTCACAGTCCCTCAAACTGTTGGAAGGCCGGATTATAATTTGAAAAAAGCATGGATGCACATTGCGCATATCTTATTTGTAGTGCAAAAAACACTTAAAAACAATACAATAATTGAAATGGAGAACAATTTTAACAAATATAAACTTATTAGTATTTTAATGGGAAGTCTGCTGTTGTTGTTGTGTGCTTTATGTCGTTTCAGACTTAGGTTGACCCTGAGTGAGGGCCGGGTAAATGACCTTGGAGGGCCGTATCCGGCCCCCGGGCCGTAGTTTGAGGACCCCTGCTGTACAGTGTATGACTTGAAGAGACATACACGCACATGCTTCGGAACCATGTTTGTGACCCAGTTCAAGAAGCCCTGATTCCAGGGGCTTTGGGAATTGAGGCTTGTGTGCTGAATTGTGCTCCTTGTTTCTCTTTCCCTTGCCAGGCCATAGCCTGCGAGTTTATTTGCGCCAGAAGAGCCAAACAAGCGGCTACTATAAAGATAGGCAGCTTTAATGACTCTGCCTGGCAAAACGGCGGCCCTAGCAGTCTCACCTCCCTGAATCCCATTACGGGGGATTATTTCTCTACCCGGCTAAAGCTAACTTGTCTGGGTGCCTCTTTCATTAAAGGCGAAGAAGAGAGGGAGGGAGGGGAGTGCTCCCTACTTGCTGGGCCGCCTGCCAGGCCCTTGAAAGAGCCTTTTGTTTTACCCAGTGAGGTCATAGAAGTGAAAACAGATTCCCAGCGGAATTTGCTGCTTCCTGGAACTTGCCAAGCACAACTCCAGGCTTTGAAAAATAAGAACAAATTTTAAGAGCAACTAGTAAAGGCAACATGACAGCTGTTCTGCCGTTCCCCCTTGTGTGTGTGCATATCTGAATAACACCAAGGCCATCAAGGGTATTCCGCCTACCCCTCTTTTGTCCTCATTCATTTCCCTTGCCTGTATCACAATAGAGGCTGGAGGGTTTTTTATCTCTGTGTATTGGCTTTCAAGTTGCCCTTCCCTTTATGGGAGCCCTATAGATTCCATAAGGTTTTCTTAGACAAGGACTCTTCAGAGATGGGTCTGTGAATCCCTTCCTCTGAAATAAGTCTCCCACATTGACGATTCCCTTCTTTAGCTTCCAAGAGCAGACAGGATGTGTTGCCTTTCAGTAGGGCCCCAAGTTTAGAGCCTATTTACACTCTTACCAAGACATTGGTAGAAGTTAAACTTTGCTGTCAAAATAGGCTCTCTTCACTGGAAAATGCTCAGGGTGTAGCTCTGGTGAGACTTCCAGTTAACATATTCAGAGCCCTTACTCTACATATCCTTGAAAGTGAGACTTGGCAAGCGGTGGGTTTTGGGCACAGGGCCAGGCCTTAGACTCTCCCAGCAAAAGCTTTATCAGCCCTCTTCAAGGACTGCAGAAAATTGAATAAGGGCTTATGGGCAATGTGAAACGTATGGTTTGACTGGGCTTATTTATTTATTGTGTCAGAAGCGAATTGAAGGTACAGTTATAATGTATTTAAAAATACAGACCAAGTTAAAAACTTGGCATTGTACTAAATGTCCTTTGACTTATTGTGTCTCTGGTGTCGCTGTGATACCATTGTACATGTGGCAGGGCTCAGGTTGTATTGTAGTAGGTGGTCCGTGGTTTGTTCTTCGCTCTACCTGGGGCTGCCTTTGAAGGCAGTTTGGAAACTTCAGCTAGTCCAATGGGCAGCAGCCAGATTACTAACTGGGGCGACATACAGGGAGCATACCACCCCTCTGTTGTGCCAGCTCCACTGGCTGCCAGTCCATCTCTGATCCGATTCAAAGTGCTGGTTTTGACCTATAAAACTCTATACTAGTGGTTCTCAATCTGGGGTCCTCAGATGTTTTAGGCCTCCAACTCCCAAAAATCCTAGCCAGTTTACCAGGTATTAAGATTTCTGGGAGTTGGAGGCCAAAAACATCTGGGGACCCCAGGTTGAGAACCACTGCTCTATACGGTTCTGGCCCAGCTTACTTGTCTGAKCGCATCCACCCCTACGTCCCATCTCGTAATCTAAGATCATCCGGGAAGGCCCTGCTCTRGCTCCCATCAATTGCGCAAATGCGTCTGGCGGGGACGAGAGACAGGGCCTTCGCCGCRGCGGCCCCTCACCTACGGAACACACTCCCAAATGAGGTAAGATCTGCTCCATCTCTCCAGGCTTTTAGAAAGAAATTAAAATTATGGCTTTGGGACCAGGCCTTCGGACAGTAGATGTATGTAGAGTTTAAAGGACATGGACTAGAATGACAGTACAACTGGGGAGACTGTTTTGATATTTATTGTTTTAATGATTGCTTATGTACTGTCTAATTATTATTTATGCTTAATTGTGGTTTTATTATTGTAATTGTTATGGATTGGCATCGCATCAGTGTCCAATGTAAGGCATTGAATTTTTGCCAGTTATGTGTAAACCGCTTTGAGTCCCCCTAGGGGTGAGAAAAGCGGTATATAAATACTGTAAATAATAATAATACTCGCATGTTGTGGACTCCCATTAAGTAGCCCCATTTCTTAAGGTTAGCTCTGCATCTCATGGTGCTAGAGGGCAGCCTGTTGAGCGCCTTTCAGGTCGCCCAGTTTTCTGTGTGCCTAGGGGGGAGTCTCTCATTTGGTATCAGCCATTGGTTGAGGTTCTGGGTTTGAGCCTGCCACTTTTGGACTCTTGCTTGCTCAGGTGTTCCAGCGAGTGTCTCTGTAGATCTTAGAAAACTATTTCTTGATTTGAGTCATTAGCGTGCTGGCTGATACACAAACAAGGGATGAGCTGGAGATGTCACTGCCTTGGTCCTTTCACTATTGGGTGCTACTTCCCGGCAGATGTCAGGTGGTGCAATACCGGCTAAGCAGTGTAATTTCTCCAGTGGTTAGGGCATCTCTCATCTAAGTATCAGCCACTGATTGAGATTCCGGGTTTTAGCTTGCTGCCTGCCACTTTTGGACTCTCGCTTGCTGAGGTGTTCCTGCGAGTATCGCTGTAGATGTTAGGAAGCTATTTCTTGTTTTAAGTTATTAGCGTGCTGGCTGATATCCACACGAATGGTCCAGAGATGTCCATGCCTTGGTCCTTTCATTACAGGCTGCTACTTCCTGACAAATATCAGGTGGTGCAATACTGGCTAAATAGTATAATTTCTCCAACTGTGTAGGACGTAGACATCCTGTGATAATGCTGCATGTCTCATTAAGAGCCACATCCTCTGCTTTAACGTGGCAAGATGCATTCCACACTGGACATATGTACTCAGCAGTAGAGTAGCAAAGCTCAAGGACAGATGTCTCCACTGTGTCTGATTGTGATTCCCAGGTTGTGCCAGTCAGCTTTTGTATATAATTTCTAGTACCCACCTTTTTCTTGATATTCAAGCAGTTCTTCTTATAAGTCACAGCATGGTCCAGAGTGATTCCCAGGCATTTTGGTGTGCTGCAATGCTCCAGTGGGATTCCTTCCCAGGTCATCCTCAGAGCTCGAGATACTTGCCTGTTCTTAAGGTGAAAAGCAAACATTTGAATTTTAGATGGATTGGGAATCAGCTGGTTTTCCCTGTAACAGGCAGTAAGAGCACCTCAAGCTTCAGAGAGCTTCTTTTGAACAATTTCAAAGCTTCCTGCTTGGCCTGTAATGGCATGATCGTCAACATAGATGAAACGCTGTCCTTTCTGACAGTTTACTGGGCTTGTCATCAATAACTAAGAGGCAAGTGTTCTTCTGTCTTGCCTGCTTAACTTTCCTTGGCCCCGCCAGCTTTCAGTTCAAGTGCACAATCTCAACAATCAGCCACAGAAAGGTTTGCCCAGGTAGACCCTCTAGACCGCTGCTTCTTAAACTGTGGGTCCCAACCACAAATGATAAAAAAATTGATGGGGTTTGCAAAATTTGGCAACAAAAAAGTTTGCTGGATGCCACCTAGTGGCTGTTTTAAGCATGTACAGAATCTGTTGTGCAGTGTTTACAGTGAATTCTGCAGAAGAGGCTTCTTGAAAAATAAGAATCAGACTGTTTAACAAGCAAGCCTTGCCAAGAGCTGGTCTGAGCCCCTCTATGGAGGTAGAGAAGATAGGGATATAAAAGTTTTAAATAAATTTTAAATAAATACTGATCACTTTGTTCGTTGTGTTGGCTGATGTTGCAAGGGCTTTTCCTTGACTCTCCTTGCTCCAGATTGATGTGCTTGATTGCAGTTTGTTTCATTCTGTAGCTATTAGTGCGTTTTATTGATCTTAGCCAGAGGTTTTTAAAATTATGTTTATGTTAGTAGTTATTGCTTTGTGTTATTGTCTTTCCACTTTTTTTAGATGTGTGTTTGCACCTTTGAGTGCTTGGTGAGCTGCCCTGAGTCCCTTTGGGAGGTGGTGGTGGGGTATAAATAAATTATTATTATTATTATTATTATTATTATTATTATTATTATTATTATTATTATTATTAGAAACACAACAAGATGAGTCCACAGCAGAAAAGATCACTTTACTGGCTGTTGTATTGGATCTCACGTCGGACACTTCCCAAGTGTCTAGGACTGTGTGATGCATTGGCGAATAATCCGTGCAGATCCCAGTAAGATGGCGTTCTGCAACTGGCAGATGGTAATTTTGTCAGCACCAACTGTATTTTAAGTGCAGGCCAAAGTCTTTAGGCACTGCACCTAGTATGCCGATCACCACTGGGACCACGTTGACTGGCTTGTGCCAAAGTCTTTGGAGTTCTATCTTTAAATCCTCATATCGTTTCTCTTTAATCCTGCTGTCACCTGGGATTGCAACATCAACAATCCATACTTTGTTTTTTAACACAAGAGTGAGGCCAGGAGTATTGTGCTCCAAAACTCTGTCAGTCTGAATCCAAAAGTCCCAGAGTAGTTTGATGTATTCATTTTCCGTAACTTTTTCCAACTTGTGATCCACCAGTTAGTTGTCGCAGGCAGATGGTATTTGTGGCACAAGTTCCAATGAATCATCTGAGCCATGGTGTTGTGCCTTTGCTTGTAGTCTGTCTGTGATCTTCTTGCAGCAGCTGAGGATGTGATCTATTGTTTCATCTGTTTCCTTGGGATCTGTCGTCGACTTTTCAAGTCTGGCTTTGATGGCATTTGTTCCAATGGCTTGTTCTTGGGCTGCCATAATCAGGCCCTCCTTTGTCTCCTTTTTCAAAGTTCCATTTGTGAGCCGCATCCATGTTTTTTGTCAATTTGGCTCTCAAGTTTTCCCAGGAACAGTCCATGGAGAGCCTTTTTTTGCCAGTTTTGTCTTCTGCTCTGTGTTGTTGTTGTTGTTGTTGTTGGGAGCCTTTTTTGCCAGTTTTGTCTTCTGCTCTGTGTTGTTGTTGTTGTTATTGTTGTTGTTGAGGAGGAGGAGAGCCTTTTTTGCCAGTTTTCTCTTCTGCTCTGTGTTGTTGTTGTTGTTGTTGAGGAAGAGGAGAGCCTTTTTTGCCAGTTTTGTCTTCTGCTCTGTGTTGTTGTTGTTGTTGTTGGGAGCCTTTTTTGCCAGTTTTGTCTTCTGCTCTGTGTTGTTGTTGTTATTGTTGTTGTTGAGGAGGAGGAGAGCCTTTTTTGCCAGTTTTCTCTTCTGCTCTGTGTTGTTGTTGTTGTTGTTGTTGTTGTTGTTGTTGTTATTGTTCTCTTCTTATAGGCTCTGCTGATAGATCATTGTAGGCTAATTCTGTAGCAGTGGTTTCCAGTTTTTGGTCCTTCAGGTGTTTTGGACTTCAGCTCCCAGAATTCCTGACCATTGGACAAACTGGCTAGGACTTCTGGGATTTGGAGTCTCAAATTTTGTAGGACCACAGCTCTGTAGTGTTCTGTGTGCTGGCAGACTTAGAAGTCTTTTGAGTGCCTGGAGTTTGATAGTCCACATCTAGGCCTCTTGATTGGAGACAATGCAAAATGTTAGTGCTGGCTTTTGGGGGGGGGAGTTACTGTTTGGAGATGTGTTCTGCTCTTCTTTAAAGCCCATGTTTCTATAACACAAGAGATACTTTTAACTTTAAGGAGAAGATCAACTTTGAAGGAAAGGATGTGACAGATTGTTGCAAAATGGCACAATATTGAAAACGCAGAGGAAAAAAAAGTTATTCATACCTCTCTTCCAATAACATCGTTTATCCAGTGAAACTACTAGACCAGTGGTTCTCAACCTTGCTAATGCCGTGACCCCTTAATGCAGTTCCATATGTTGTGGTGACCCCCAACCATAATATTGTTTTTGTGCTACTTGATACCTGCTATAAATGTAATGTAAATATCTGATATGCAGGATGTATTTTCATTCACTGGACTAAATTGAGCACAAATGCCCAATATGCCCAAATGTGAATGCTAGTGGTGTTGGGGGGGGGAGGATTGATTTTGTAATTTGGGAGTTGTAATTGCTGGGATTTATAGTTCACCTATAATCAAAGAGCATTCTGAAGTCCACTAGCAATGGATTTAAACCGAACTTGGCACACAGAACTCCCATGACCAACAGAAAACACTGGAAGGGTTTTGTGGGCATTGACCTTGAGTTTGGGAGCTGTAGTTCACCTATATCCAGAGGAGTGCTGTGGATTCATGCAACGATGGATCTGGACCAAACTTAGCACGAATACTCCATATGCCCAAATGTGAACACTGGTGGAGTCTGGAGAAAATAGACCTTGACATTTGGGAGTTGTAGTTGTTGGGATTTATAGTTCACCTACAATCAAAGAAGTTTCTGCACTCGACCACCAATAGAAAAGCCCGACTGCTCACTGGAGGGAAAGATAATAGAGACAAAGTTGAAGTACTTTGGCCACATCATGAGGAGACAGGAAAGCCTAGAGAAGACAATAATGCTGGGGAAAGTGGAAGGTAAAAGAAGGAGGGGCCGACCAAGGGCAAGATGGATGGATGGCATCCTTGAAGTGACTGGACTGACCTTGAGGGAGCTGGGGGTGGTAACGGCCGACAGGGAGCTCTGGCGTGGGCTGGTCCATGAGGTCACGAAGAGTCGGAGACGACTGAACGAATGAACAACAACACAATCAAAGAGCATTCTGAACTCGACCAACAATAGAATTGGGTCAAACTTCCCACACAGAATCCCAATGATCAACAGAAAATACAATGTTTTCTGATAGTCTTTGGCGACCCCTTTGACACCCTCTCCTGACCCCCAGGTTGAGAAACACTGTACTAGACCAAATGAAGCATCTATTAATATCAAATGTAGTTATTTATTAAAATTGCTGCCACCAGAGGATGCATGCAAAAAAATGAGACTTTAATACTTATTTTGCTCTCTCTCATTTCAGGAAAATACCTACGCCAAAAGCGAATTGACTTCCAGTTGCCATATGACATTCTCTGGCAGTGGAAACATAATCAGGTGGGGGACTTTTCAGAAAAATGTCACAAGATGCCCAGGTTGCTTTCCAAGATATCTATGAAAAAGAAATGTTTTTTTTGCTGTGGCTGCCCTGATATTAGCTGTACATTCAGGAGTCTTCTGCTGAAGTCAGCAACTGAGTGAGGAGGATTTATTTTTGTAAAAAAGCAAAAAACAGAAATCCTTGAATATATCCTTGAATATATATATATCCTTGAATGTATGTATGTGGCAGACAGATTCCATTACTTCCCTGCCTCCCAACCCCCATTGTTCCTCCAAATGCAAAATAGCAGCCGTTTTTTGTCTCCCGAAGCGTCCTACTTTCATCCTGCTGAGGACTTTTATTCTGAAAGCGCTTGACTTCTTCTGCAGGGATCTTGTGTTTTTTTTCCGACACGCCTCTGGAGAATTCAGATGTTCTGCCAACAGCGCTGAAAAATCTCAGACCTTTATTTTCCTTGGACGCAGTCCCAAACAGAGTGGAGGTTTTTATTATTTTTTTCTGTGTGTGTGTGTGTGTGTGTGTGTGTATTCCATTTCATTCTCAGATGGAGAGGAATGCATCAAACAGCCCGGCCCCTCCTGCGTTCTCTCGAAAAAGCTTTCGTTTGTCCACTAAAAATAGGGTGGTGTCTCCTCCTGACAAAAGCTTTACACTAGAAATCTTGCAGTTGAGAGTTTTTGTTCTTTAGAAGGCCACCTCTGCTTTTTTAAAAGGTATATTTTAAGGAGACTCCTGTCCCCTTTCGCCCTGTTAACCCTTCCAGCTGTGTCCTCCAGTCACTTGTGTCTGTCCTTTGCCATAAGCCGATGGTAGAGCATGTCCTTTTGAATGCAGAATATGCAAAGTCCAGTCGTTAGACCAGTGGTTCCCAACGTTTTTTTGACCAGGAACCACTTTGACCACAGAACGCTTTGACCACAGAATGCTTTGACCAGGGACTACTTTGACCACAGACCATTTGTCTTTGGACCACTTTGACTAGGGACCACTTCGACCAGGGGCTACTTGACCAGTAACCAAATTGACCAAGGACCACTTTGACCAGGGGCCACTTTGATTATAGAACACTTTGACCACAGACCACTTGTCTTTGGACCACTTTGACTAGGGACCACTTTGACCAGGAACCACGTTGACCAGGGGCTACTTGACCAGGGACCACTTTGACCAGGGACTACTTGACCAGGGGCCACTTTGACCAGACCACTTTGATCACGGAACACTTTGACCACAGACCACTTGCCTTTGAACCACTTTGATCAGGGGCTACTTGATCAGGGACCACTTTGACCAGAAACCACATTGACCAGTGACCACTTGACCAGGGACCACTTTCATTAGGGACTACTTGACCAGGGACCACTTGTCTTTGGACCACTTTCATTAGGGGCCATTTTGACCAGGGACCACTTTGACCAGGGGCCACTTTGACAAGGGACCACTTTGATCACGGAACACTTTGACCACAGACTACTTTGACCACAGACCACTTGTCTTTGGACCACTTTGACCAGGAACCACTTTGACCAGGGACTACTTGACCAGGGACCACTTAACCAGGGGCCACTTTGATCATGGAACACTTTGATCACAGACCACGTGTCTTTGGACCACTTTGACTAGGGATCACTTTGACCAGGGGCTTCTTGACCAGGGACCACGTTGACCAGGAACCACGTTGTCCAGTGACCACTTGACCAGGGACCACTTTGATTAGGGACTACTTGACCAGGGACCACTTGTCTTTGGACTTACTACTTTGATTAGGGGCCATTTTGACCAGGGGCTACTTGACCATGGACCACTTTGACCACGCACCACCTGTCTTTGAACCAGGGACCACTTTGACCAGGGACCACTTGTCTTTGGACCCACCACTTTGATTAGGGGCCATTTTGACCAGGGGCTATTTGACCATGGACCACTTTGACCACGCACCACCTGTCTTTGAACCAGGGACCACTTTGACCAGGGACCATAATTCAAGGATTTTGGTTTTGTTTTTTTTTAATGGACTCTCCCCACTCAGTTGCTATCAGATTCCCATATTAGGTAGCTTCAGTCATCTTCTTGCTTTCGTTGTCACTGTCCAGAACACTGTCCAGGTGAAGCATGTTCAGTCTAGACACCCAACCTGACAAACAAGTAGGCAACTTCTGGTACCATATAGGGCAGTAGTTCTCAACCTTTTGTTGACCAGGGACCATTTTGACCAGGGACCACTCTCCAACATTAGTACCAAAAGGGTTATGAATCAGTTTTTGGTCAACTTTAGATTCAGTTTCGTTATTTGGGGTGCTTATTCAGAAAATTGCATTGGATAGACCACATCAGCTCTAGTTTCTGATACAGAACATATGCCATCCAGTCATCACCATTTGCTTGCCCACAAAAAAACATATTTAATAATCTAGATCTGATGTGGTAGTAATAATCTTTCAGCCTCTCCCCTCCCAACATTCCCATTGCCTTGGTGCTATAAGAGGGTTTTACGAAACCAGTTGTTCTCCTTGCTGCATGGTTTTGAGGAAACTATATTTTCATTTCAAATCACGGACGTGCCACCCTTTGGAAGACTAGAAAGCTGTCTCCTTGTGATAACTAAGAGCACATTTTTCATGTTCCATAGTTTTGCAGTGTTCTATAAAAGGAAGGATTTCGTTATTCCTAACCCACCGCTCTCTGTACTGTAGGAGACTTCTTAGTTTGCCTCCCCCACATTAATAGTAATTATAGAGTAACTGCTTTCGTTATTTCAGATCTCTTGATATGTTCCAAGGGAAAATGTTCCACTGTGGACAACAGAGTTAGGAGGGCCTTTGTTGCAGTCAGGGACCTCCTGATGTCTCAGCATGGCTGGCACAAGGCCGAGGAGAGCTGGTTGCTCCCTCATAATGGATACTACTGGGAGCCAAGCGTAACCCAGGATTAACATAAGCATTTCTTTTGTTAGTATAGAATTAGACGTGTATTAAATGTTTTGCATCGTGGCCATGGATACATTTCATACAGGTTAATGGGAGGGAAAACAGCGGAGGAGAAATTGAATTGCTCCCTTCCTCTTCTACCTAACTTGAGTTAAATAGCCATGATTTTTTTGAGATAACTGCAAGTCGCTTCTGGTGTGAGAGAATTGGCCATCTGCAAGGACTTTGCCCTGGGGATGCTGTAATGTGGGAGGCTTCTCTCGTGTCCCCCGCATGGGAAGCTGGGGCTGGCAGACCGGAGACACCCTGCTCCCCAGATTTGAACTGGCGACCTTTTGGTCAGCAGTCCTGCCAGCATAAGGATTTAACCCATGTAGAATCAGAATCATAGAATCAAAGAGTTGGAAGAGACCTCATGGGCCATCCAGTCCAACCCCATTCTGCCAAGAAGAAGGAATATTGTATTCAAATCACCCCTGACAGATGGCCATCCAGCCTCTGTTTAAAAGCTTCCAAAGAAGGAGCCTCCACCACACTCCCTCCGGGGCAGAGAGTTCCACTGCTGAACGGCTCTCACAGTCAGGAAGTTCTTCCATGTGTTCAGATGGAATCAATGCACATATACACGGCAAACATTCAATGCCATTTATCACCAGCAATTAGGAATTGAACAAGGAAACAAAACTCAAAAACCCCCCAACGAAACAACCAAAATTCCCATGCCCATAACACAACCCACAAGGTACAAACATATCTACTCAAAATGAAAAACAACACAACAACACACTCACAAAACGGCAAAACAACAAAACTCAAAAAACCCCAACGAAACTTAACCAAAATTCCCATGCCCATAACACAACCCACAAGGTACAAACATATCTACTCGAAATGAAAAACAACACAACAACACACTCACAAAACGGCAAAACAACAAAACTCAAAAAAACACCAACGAAACTTAACCAAAATTCCCATGCTCATAACACAACCCACAAGGTACAAACATATTACTCAAAATGAAAAACAACACAACAACACACTCAAAACGGCAAAAAAACAAAACTCAAAAAACCCCAACGAAACTTAACCAAAATTGCCATGCCCATAAAACAACCCACAAGGTACAAACATATCTACTCAAAATGGAAAACAACACAACAACACACTCAAAAAACGGCAAAACAACAAAACTCAAAAACCCCCAACGAAACTTAACCAAAATTCCCATGCCCATAACACAACCCACAAGGTACAAACATATCTACTCAAAATGAAAAACAACACAACAACACACTCACAAAACGGCAAAACAACAAAACTCAAAAAACCCCAACGAAACTTAACCAAAATTCCCATGCCTATAACACAACCCACAAGGTACAAACATATCTACTCAAAATGAAAAACAACACAACAACACACTCACAAAACGGCAAAACAACAAAACTCAAAAAACCAAC